TGGCCCTTGATCCAGCTGCACACCCGGTGTAGCACACACCTGTGCCCCGGGCCTCACGTGTGCGTGTTGCTGGGCACCCAGGAGAAGCTCATGTCCATCATCATCCTGGCCACGTTCTCCGTGGGCACCACGATGTTCTGCATCTTCTTTTTCTTCTACACCATCCGCACCTACATCCTGGCGGGCAAGGCGCTGTCCGCCAGGAACAAACGGAGGGCGTCATGCTAGCCCCGTGTTAGCCGCCCTGGTAGATTCCTCCATCCACCAAGGGGACAGAGAGGGGGGACACTTGGGTGGATGGTTGGGTTTGGTGTTGAATTCCCGGGGATGTCTTTTGTTGTTGTTGGTTTTTACATTATTGTTATTCTGCTTCTTCCTGTGGATGTTTTTCCTGAAGGTTCTTCAGGTGGGAAACACACACACACAAAATAAATTCAATAAAGCTGGGAATTTTATTTTGTTTCTGTCGGTCATGGGGCTTGAACTCAGGGCCTGGGTGCTGTCCCTCAGCTCTTCAGCTCAAGGCGGGCGCTCTACCCCTTGAGCCACAGCACCACTTTTGGTTTTCTGAAGGTGGTTCATGGGAGATCAGAGTCTCATGGACTTTCCTGATCAGGCTGGCTTGGAACCGTGATCCTCAGATCTCAGCCTCCTGAGTAGCTGGGATGGCAGGCAGGAGCCACCAACCAGCACCTGGCTTTACTTTCTTCTTGTCTAAGTGATGATTTTTATACTAAAAAGGGGAAAAATTAAGCCGAAAAAATGAGGTGTTCACTGCTATTTTTTCTCTCTTTCTTTCCTTCCTTCCTTTCCTCCTCCTCCTTCTTCCTTTCTTTCTTCTATTTTTGCTAGTCCTGGGGCTTGAACTCAGGGCCTGGGCGCTGTCCCTGAGCTTCTTTGGCTCAAGGCTAGCACTCTACCACTTGAGCCACAGTGCCACTTCTGGCTTTGTCTGTGTCTGTGGTACTGAGGAATCGAACCCAGGGCTTCATGCTTGCTGGATGAGCTCTCTACCACTGAGCCACCTGCCCAGCCCTGTTTTGGTGTTTGTTTGGTTTTTTTTTTTTGGTTTGTGTGGCTGGTCTTGATCTCAGGGCCTGAGTACTATCTCTGAGGTTTTTTTTTTTCTTATGGCTTGGTGCTCTACCACTTGAGCCACAGCACCACTTCTGGTTTTCTGGTGGTTTATTGGAGATCAGAGTCTCACGGACTTTCCCATCTGGGCTGGCTTTGAACTGCGATCCTCAGATCTCAGCCTCCTGGGTAGCTGGGATGACAGGCGGGAGCCACCGGTGCCCAGCTCTTCTATTAATTTTGTTTGCTTGTTTGTTTTTTGTTGTTTGCTTTTGCAGATGCTGGGGGTTTTAACTCAGGGCCTGGACACTGTCTCTGGGCCTCTTTGTCTTCAAGGATAGCACTCCACCACCTGGGCCACACTGGCACTTTGTTTTTCCTGAGTAGTTTATTGGAGATGAGAGTCTCATGAGACAGGGGCCCGTGGCTCCCGCCTGTCACCCCAGCTACTCAGGAGGCTGAGATCTGAAGATCACGGTTCAAAGCCAGCCCGGGCAGGACACTCTGTGAAACCCTTTTATTTCCAGTGAGCCACCAGAAAACCAGAAACGGAGCTGTGGCTCAGGTGGTAGAGCGCCAGCCTTGAGCTGAAGAGCTGAGGGACAGTGCCCAGGCCCTGAGTTCAAACCCACGACCAACCAAATAGAGTGTAATATGAACTATAGATATGAAATATATAAATACATAATGTATAATATAAAATGCAGATATAAAAGAGATGAATAGGCATATAAATGTGTAAGATGTAGCTATAAATTATATATAACTATATAGATGTAACTGAGCTATAAATAGGTAAATAAACATATCAATATGCAAATATAAACTACATTAATGCTATCATGAATACTCTAATCACAGAACGATGCTGTTGGTATTAAGGGGGTGTGAGCTGGGCACTGGGCACAAGCCTTGGCCCTGGACCAGGCCGTCGACCCTCCTTCGCGCTGCCCTGGCCCCCCCCTCCCATCTGGGAGAAGGCCAGAAGCATGAAAAGGAAACCCTGGCTAACAACACCGCAATGCACCCGCGCAGGCCGCAAAGCCAGGCCAGGGAAAGGGCAGTCCTGGGAAGCGCCAGGGTGCTTACAATATTGTTGTTTTGTTTGGTCAGTCGTGGGGCTTGAGCTCGGGGCCTGGGCGCTGTCCCTCAGCTCTGCAGCTCAAGGCTGGCGCTCTACCCCTTGAGCCACAGCGCCACTTCCGGCTTTACGGTGGTTCCTTGGCCGGAAGAGTCTCACGTACTTTGGGGCCTCAAATCCTGATCCTCAGAGCTCAGCCTCGGGAGCAGCTGGGATGACAGGCGGGAGCCAGCAGCGTCCAGCCTAAAACGATTTAAAAAGCAATGGCATCCTCCTCCTCTGTCATTGTGGCTCCAACAAATGGCGTGGGCAGAATTGTTCCCTCTGAGTAGAGAGATCATGGAGGCAGGCGCATTACCTCCCTTTGTATGGCATGGATGAAATTCAGTATCTCACTAAAAACGCACTGTAAACTGCAGACGAAAGCCAGGCGTGGATGCTCCCGCCTGTTATCCCAGCTCCTCAGGAGGCTGAGATCCGGAGGATCGCGGTTCCCAGCCACCCAATCAGGAAAGACCATGGTGAGACTCTGATCTCCAATAAACCAGCAAAAGAGCTTGAAGTAGAGCCTGTGGTTCAAAGGGTAGAGCGCCAGCCTGGAGTTGGACACTGCTCAGGGACAGCGCCCAGGCCCTGAGTTCAAGCCCCAAGACCAGCACCAATTAAACAAACAAAAACCCAGCAAGGCCCAACAAAGGCCCGGTGTGATGGAATGCTGGCCACATGACTCCGCACAACTGAAAGGAACTTTGCGACTTCTTCACTGCACCTTAGGCTGAGCCTAAGTAATGTGCCCGCCCCTCATTAGGGAAGCAAACTTTTAACCTCCTGCCCCCACCCCCAGTCAATCAACAAACACTGCACAATTCCAGTTCCCCCCAAGGTCTCCACCCTGCAGCTTCTCACCGGCCTCCAGTTAGGGCAGAGAGGGGGGAGCGATCTGTTTGGAGAAACTGGCCATTGTCTCTGGGGGAGCGTGGAAGGGAGACCCCCCTCCCCCCCCCCCAGCCCCGCCCCCCCTCCTTGGTATTCAGTTAATGGCTGAAATTTGAGTCCCAAGGCCACATCCGTCAAGGGCCAGGAGGAAAATGTTCT